AGAGAAATGAAGCACATTTTCAAGAAGCTACACAAAGGCCATAATCAAGAGCCTAATCGGACCAACGAGACGCCGCCGCCGCAGCCGTCTCCCTCATGCGCCACCGATCATCAACGTCCCATGTCCGGAAACTCTCCGACGAGTCCCTCCACGTCATCACCTGCTCCGGATACTGTTCCGCCGAGCGCAGGGTACGCTGGACTGTGTCGGCATGTTGTCGGAGGAGGAGTTCCAGGTTCAGTTAGCTCTAGCGATCAGCGTGTCGAATTCGGAGGATCAGATCCGCGCGGCGACTCTGCTGAGCTTGGGCGGCCATCATCAGATGGATACAGGCAGGGATAGGGAGGAGGTGCCTCGCAGAGGATTTATCGAGACATTATTGGGTGAGTGTTCGTCAACTTTCTCCTTACCCATTTTGAGGTCGAATTGGATTCAAGTTGGAATGGGTTTTGTAGTGTTGGTGCTGGTGGATGGATTGTAGTTAATGACCTTACTTAAAGTAGGGGCTTTTGGTCTGTGCCTATCAGCAATTTTGAATTTCTGGTAATTAGAGCAAGTCACCATGGAATTGTGTAAGTATGGCCATTCAGATATATATATATTGGTGAAGAGAACTGTAACCTTGAGTATTCTAACATCTTGCTTTTTTTGTGAGTTAATCTAGTGGAGAGAGCATGAGTTGGAGAAAAGGGCTATGATTTAAGGAAGTGATTACTTGGGTTATGGTACTTAATCCTTGCTCTTCTGATATCTAGCAGTGATCCATTTTTGGATGACGGAAATTAATGTTTTGGAACACTTAATGCTGAAGCATTAATTTTAATTGGATTCAATAGCATTAAATGGGCATGAATTAGGTTTGGATTGCTTATCAGTGTTGGCAGTTGCTGCTGGTTGGTTTTGGATTGTTAGGGTTAATGCAATTTACTCTCAGACATGAATTAGTAAAAATGATGAATTGCAGCATCATGGAGTCTTTCATGCTATGAAATTGTAGTGGATGAGGTTGAACTAAGATTAGTAATTGTGTTTTGGTGGTTAAAGCTTGGAGTTTTGTTCTTAACAACTCAAATGTATTTTGTATCTAGTTTTAGATTATATATTGCTGGCCAACAAATTTCATTGCTACCATTTTGGACTTGCATAATTTATAGTTAAGAAAACTATGATCATCTTAATTATTTGAGTCCTGCATTTTCAATTTTAGTAGCTGAGTTGAAATGGTTACTTTTCTTGATTACATAAATTGAATTCTTGATCCTTGGTTAATTTGGGGAAGGAGTATCTCCTGTGTACTGTTCTTTTGTTTTCTACTTTGTGAGGCTTTATTCAATCAGGTAAGTAGTTGATTTTGTGATAGAAATGGGATTTAAAATCTGAAAATTTTGTTTATGTGGTTTAAGTTATGTTGAAGTGATAATATTGACTAAAAAAGCAGTCGTTGCCAAATTGAGTTCACTCAAACAATTTAACATGCAGAAAATTTTTCTATTTAAGAATGCAATCAAATATCTGATTTTTTTGCTAGTTTAAAATATATATTCTCCATGCCAGAATGTCTTTCAGGTATATTGAGTTTGAAAGTTTCTTATACATTGCTACTTCATATTAATGCTTGACTGTAATTTGTTTACATATATTCCTATGGTGTACTGCGTCTGTAGTTATTCTATTTGGCTTGACTTCTGTTAGGTGTTTTAATGCACCAGGAGTACAGTGTGCTTGATTACAAAGAGAAAGTGGTTGATGGTTTCTATGATTTGTATGGGCCTTCCACAAATTCAGCACTCCAAGGAAAAATGCCATCTCTTGCGGATCTTGAGACAAATCTTGGGAATTATGGCTTTGAAGTTGTGATTGTCAATTGAACAATTGACCCTGTCTTAAAAGAGTTGGTGCAAATTGCACATTGTATTGCATTAGATTGCCCTGCTAGTGACGTTAGTGTTTTAGTCCAAAAGCTTGCTGAATTTGTTACAGGCCATATGGGTGGACCTGTTAAGGATGCTAATATAATGTTGGCAAGGTGGATGGATAGGAGCATGGAATTGAGAACATCTCTTCATACAAGTTTATTGCCTATTGGGTTCATTAATATAGGATTGTCTCGGCATCATGCTTTACTTTTCAAGGTTAGTTATTTTGTTTTTTGTTGACTTTCAAGGTTAGTTATTAAACTTAAACTTGTGGCTCTAGTCTCTACTTGCCAACTTTTTGTTACTGTAATATATTTACCATTTCTACACCCCTTATTAAATGTGAGTTCATGTAACATGAAAAGGGAAAGATATGGCTCTGTCTACCTTTTAGAGTCATGTTTGTATCTTGAGGAAGATCCTTCTTCTTCCTTTTTTTTTTGGTAAGATTTAAGTATCATGAGAATCTGTGATCACATTGGTTGAGGGAACTTCAGAGAAGGAATTTTTTGAGATATATTATTATTAGAAGTTATGCCCTTTGTCACTGTCTCTACAGCTGTCATTCTAAAACCTCATGATTTGAACTTTCCGTTGATTGTTTTGATTACTGAGGTGTAATCCATTGTATAGCAACAATCTGACAGACTTGGTTTCCATTTCATCAGAAATTGGTTGTTAAAATCAAGTTTGCTTCTTTAATGCTGTTATTCTTCACATTTAAAAGATGCTACTAAAGGCTTTCTGAAAAATAAAATTTCATGCCTCATTCTTTGAGCTAATAAATATTAGATCAAAATGTAGGCTAAGCATTCTATTTATCCAACAGCTGTATATTTATTTTCTTGGCACCCCTGTATGTAGGTATTGGCTGATAATATAAAGTTACCTTGTAGACTCATAAAAGGCAGTCATTACACTGGGGTTGAGGATGATGCTGTAAACATGGTAAAGCTGGAGGATGAAAGGTAGTAGTTTGTACTTATTTTTGAATCAATCTCTGACCTCTTCAGTTATGATGTTTTGTTTCATTGCCTTTAGGGAATTTTTGGTTGATCTCATGGCAGCTTCTGGGACACTTATACCTGCTGATATTTTTAGTGCAAAGGATACCGCGTTGAAGTCATATAATCCATCACTAAGCAAAATCCCGACTATTCAGTTTTCTGATGATGTTGGAGGTGTTCACCCGAGAGCCAAATTAAATGGTGAAGGCAGTAGCCAAAGTTCTGCAATTAATGGCGGTTTTCCCTCAGATAGGGGGATCAAGTTCAAAAAACACAGAATACTTATATTCATTCTCGGGTCCAAGTGGTGACTCTGCTGTTGTCACTTCCATAATATCTAACAAAATGTCCCCTAATCAGTTGGATCATCTTCCTTCTACTGTAATTGGAGCTTCACTTTATAAAGGGAGTTGTGGGACCAATCCTACAGTTGACAGTGCAAGGATGAACCTCAATGTGGTTCCATACAGTCAGAGTAGTGAGGATGACTCTAAAAACCTTTTTGCAGATCTTAATCCTTTCCAGATAAAAGGGACAGATAAAACTTACCTGCAGAACAAATCTACCGAAAGCAAAGTTGATGACCTTCTAAGACAAAAAATGAATATTGTCATCTGTCGCCCCCCTGTCCCATTACGGAAGAATCGGTCCACTTACAATGAGATCCCTAAGAAAAAGGAGTACAATTACGTGGATGGTCTATTTCCCAAAATCAATCGTGAGTCTGAGTTCCATCAAACAGCTCAACAAAATCTGAGAAGGTCCATCCTCATGGTTTCAAGTTATCGAGTGATTCCAATCTCCCCAATAATGATAATAAATCTAGGGATTGTTTGTCTGACATGGGACAATCTTTGACTTCTACTACTGGTCAGTTCAATAATGCACCAATGGTTCAGGATGTGAGCACTAACTTTAATGAAGAAAAATCCAATGGATGGCAGGATGTGCAAAATAACACTGTGGATATGGTTAAAGATCAGGAAAGTAATGAAGTGGGTTTACATGATCACAGAAAAGCCAAACCTGGTAGATGTATGGGGGAAAATCTGAAATTGAAGAATCCTGAAAGTCCTAGGTCACCAGTTGATTGCATAACAGAAAGGGTTGATCAACTCTTTGATGATGTAGATGTGGGTGATTTTGAAATTGCATGGGAAGACTTGCTTATTGGTGAAAGAATTGGACTGGGTAAGGCATATGATCTATTCTCTATTAGGTTTGGAAATCATGGTTTTGCAGAGATGGATTTTTAGTCCGTAAACTGGCAGTTTTTTCAGTCTTAACTGCATTATTGCTTTTAAAGGTTAGAGTTATTAGGAGCAGCCGTGTATGGTGTTTCACTGCTATATAGATATACTGTTTTCATTTCTTTAGGAGTTCTAATTCTTTGTGAATTTTGTTTTCTTGTGAATAGGTTCATATGGAGAGGTCTATCATGCTGATTGGAATGACACGGTTAGTTTTAGATACTATTTTTCCCTTGAAATTTGTAAAGTTGATCACTTCTTTCCATATTTTCTTTTTATTTGTTGTTGTTTTACTTAAAGTTGGAGAACTTGTTCTTGTCTCTTTAAAATGTTCTCTCTAAGATGTTGGTTTGTCATTTTTATGTTGCTTTGGAGACTCAGTGATGGCTTATAATATGACAACATGGATTAACATGAACATCATTGTAGAACCTTTTACATAAACAATACTCCGATAGTTTAGATGGTAATATAGAATTTTTAACAAGTGAATCATAGTTGGCAATACCTTTCTTTCTGTACTTTTGGAATTGGAAGTTAATATCATTTTGACTTGAAAGCAACATCATTTTTAAAATTGAAAGTTTATTAAAATTTTTCTTTCTATCAAGTAGCTTGTAAAAGAGTTGAGTTTTTAAGACACGATTTCTCTACTTGTACCAATTTTGAATCAATAAGATATGAAATGAAAAATGGAGTTTCGAACTTCCTGGCTGGTAATGGGTTTTGAACCACAGGAGGTTGCTGTTAAGAAGTTCCTAGACCAGTATTTCTCGGGTGCTGCTTTGGCTGAATTCAAAAGAGAAGTAAGTGAAAAATTAAACTCAGGATTTCTATTTTTAGTTTTGTATCCAAATGATAGAAACTTGCATTGCAAGATGCTTTTAGTCTTTCTATTGTCTTTCATCTAGAATGCAAGACACCCGGAAAAGGAGACACCCGGAGTTCCCTCTTTTGGTGAGGTGAAAACTCATTTTCTTCCATTAATATTCTGCTATAAATAGCAAAAACAATACAATATAAAACAATACTTTTCTCACCTAATATTTACCTGATACAAGAAAATATATCAAACATTTAAAGCAATATCATATTTAAAAGATTTGCTGCCATTTTGTGCAGCTCCATGTGGCTGTCACTTTACCGCCACTGTATTGCAGCTTTGACACCACAACTCTTAACAGAAATTGTAAATATATATGTGTTTACACCATAAATTGTAAAATTTTAAATTAATGCCATGTGTAAAATATTTTTTATTGGTTGGAGGAGATTGAGCCATGTCAGATTCGGATTCTGGGCCCCATGATAGATCAGCACTTGTGTTAGCAAAAGAGGAGAGGTAAAGATAATTTTTTATGGAGTAATTATCTTCTTGAGACAGAAAGGGATAATGGGAGTTGAAAAATAGGAGAAGATTGCAGTTAAAAAGGGGGTTTTATCTAACAAGAGTACAGGTGGCAAAATCTGCAAGGAGATTAGACCAAGTCAAAAGGTGAGGTATCCCACTACTTCAAGAAACCACCCATGATTGAGTAACTGTAGAAAGTGGAAGTTACTATCGGCACAAGGAGAACAAAAAGGAATTTTTGGAAGGAAGAAGGGACGGCCAGCCATATTCAAACATCTTCAAATTTTCATACTTTTATTTTCTCTGCAGTCTGCTTTCAGATTTTGAATTTCAGCACAGATTCCATTAGAATTAGGTTGTTTTTCATCATTCCAGTAGGCAAATTAATTCATGTATTCAATTCAACAATTTTCTTTCATGCAATGAACTTCAATCCTTCAAGTTTATGCAAGGTATTGTTCTCTTTTCATTTGTAATTAATTTAATATTTATGGTAAGTAGCATTTTATTCAATGATTACTTATGTGGTGTCATATCTCTTTTCAACCTCAAGCATGGTAGTTTAATTACTGTTTACATTAATTTTAATGTTAATTAGGATGAAGTCTTTAATTCTGCAGCACTTTTAATTTCCAAATCTGCCAGTATATAACGTTTTAATTTAACAATGAACATGTTTAGTTTAATTTCGGTACAACTTTTTCTTGTAAATTTACTTTAAATTGCAGGTTATTTAGTTCAATTAGGATTTGTTAATTTAAGTCACGATAGTGTTTAAGTCTTTGGAGTTGTCCAAGGTAGATTTCGTAACCCATTCTGCAGGAAGGTATCTCTCCCTCTTGCAAATCGTCTGAAGGTGCAAATTTCATTTTAATCTAATGTTCTTCCCGCCATCTGCAATGAGGTCGACCGTGAGGAAGGAGAGGGTCGTTGGGAAAGTCTTTCTTTTTTACTTTCAGCAAAGTAAGTGGCACGTCCACATTCAAATTTCACACATGCGAGGCCATTAGAAGATTTTTGGGGAATCAATATGAAAGGAAATTGTTTACATCTGTACGTGTTCTTGTTTTCTTTCGTACTACTCTGTTTCTGTAAATGTAAAAATTATTCTGGGGAGCAAAGATATCCTTGTGCAAATCTGGAAATGGGTGGAATGAAGATGCCGGAGTAATGGATTATCCTTATCCTCAACTAAAGTTGTAGAAGATGTGGCAAAATGAGGCAAAGTTAAAAAAATTTGATGGTAAAAATGACGCCAATCTGCTTGCTGAATCAAATTAAATCACATATGTTGATTATCCGAATTTGAACTCTGAATTTCAACGTTCTGAAATTGACAGGGTGCTGATGTGCTAAGCCTTACATGATATATATGCTTCAAGACTCAAAAGGGTATCACTTATTTAGTAATTCTAGGGATGCAATACTATCAGCATCAGCCAGAATGATAAGCCAAAATACCCTTGGAAGGGATTTCAAACACAAGTTGATGATTTCAAGACTATATTTAGCCATGCAATCAGCTGCGTAGCTGCGGGTTCCACCTCCTGGTATTGGTAGTGCCAGTGATTTTCTTGATGATGTTCCTATGAGGGTGGTGCCAGTTTGGGTTTTGATTCAAACACAAGTAAAATCTAAAAACACTCACATCTTGAAAATTTACCAGTGTAGAAAAGTTAGGTAGAGGCAACTGATATAGAAGAAAGTACAATCTGAAAGCAGGAGGAAAGACGGTGAAGGGCTACAGAAGTGTGCTCTGGCAGGGAACTTAAGAAGCTCGAGTTAGCCTCAAAAGTTTTTAACAAAATCAATAGATCAAATATGAGAGAAATTCATACCTTGGGTTTGTTATGGCCTATGTATAGGTTGAATGGCTGCAAGTGTTGAACAATAAGCCAACCATACCAACTCATATATATCCAATTCACATAAACTCCATTAAGTCAGATGTTGAGCGCTAGGTCTCAACTTCAGAGAAGCATTATATAAGAGCCCTGCAACATGGTTCAATAGGTTGTGTGATATGGAGAAAACATAGTATCGACATTTGGATAAACAAATAAGAACCATAATATGAATTGAGGAGCACTTTGGTGAAAAGACGGTATCAAATCCTTTAAAACCAGTTAATATTTGGATGAGAGAAGTAGAATCAACTAATTATTAGTGTAGAGGCAGCTGGCAAGCAAGAAAGCACATTAAATCAATCTAAATTCTGCCTACTATTTTGGACTTGAAAATAATTGTTGATCTCCAATTGATAGAAAATCTAAAGGTAAGTCACAGAGACTGTCAAGTTAGCCACAAAAGAGTTTAACTAAATTGATAGATCAGATAAATATGAGAGAAATTCATATAATTGTATACATACATACCTCGGGTCTGCTGTAGCCTACATATATATATATATATATATTTATATATATGGGTTCAATTGGCACAAGAGTTGAACAATAATGTAATTAAAGAAATAAAGATGTTGAGGTTGATATAGTTAACAGTCACAAAACATAAAACAAGAAATTTGTCAAATCTGTTTAACTACTTATTACAACACAAAATAAAACAAATATTACTTAAACAACCATTAATTAAACAAAGTTCATCCATAGCACAAAACAGCAAATTACAACAGAGATTGTATTGGATTGAAGTGAGTGTGAGTCCCAATTTTTTTGTTTTCCTTAGTTGTATATGTCGCTGAGTTGAAGAAAAAGGTTTGAGATGGTAAGAGATGCAGCCTGCACCAACATGTATGGAGAAATTACTTAATTCTAAGGATGCAAATATTAGTTAGCCAAAAAAAAAAGGGGGAAAAATGAAAAATGTTCAAGAAAACATAAACATATATACCTGGGTTGGGCATTAGAAAGTGGACATAGATTGACCAGATTGATATTCATTGCATGACTCATGAAATCCATTCCGGTTCTTGCTCCCTATGAATGAATAATTTAAAAAGGAATTAGCATCCAATTAAGGGAGATGGACATCTCATCAGAAGCAAATCAACAGACATATATACCTGAGCTGAGCTGCGTGTTAGAAACTAATCAATTGATAATTGAAACTCGTAGGGGCAAGATTGATATGTAATCCGTACCAAAGTGTCGCAGCTGTGAATAATCAAAAAAGGAATTAGCGAGATAGACACCTTATTACCAAATCAATCAAGATTAGATAATTGAGCAAATCAACGGAGATTAACACTTGGATTCATTCAGAAACGAGATAGAAACATTTATTTATGAAATACAAGTGAGAGAGAAGGAATGGAATGCAAGTGATGGAAAAAGGGAAAGTGATGAGACTTACCCTTTGTTGGAGTTGACAAAAGGTAGGAGGACAATCTTATCGTCAGGATTCACCCACTCCAACGATTCCCACCATTCTTTTGGATTTTCAATATGGATATATTTGACAGCAGGAAGAGATGGTTGTGCGTTTTCCCTTCCAAGACAAAGGGGAATCCTCTTTACCTTCACACAAGTCTCTATATGGATGCTATTGAGAGATTCACAAATCATTACTCCTCTTTCGGGGCAGATTCTCTTCAATTCTGGTAGGAATAGCAACTCCAATGTCCTTAATTTTGGAAGAGCAATCAATATTGGAGTAGTTGTTTGATTTCCTTCCTCTTCTTCTTCCCATCCTATTATTTCCTCCATCTCGCAACAATTTTTCACGTCAATCAACTCCAAGTTTTGGAGGCCCTGACCCTGTAGCAGCTCACATGGAAAAAGCTTCTTCAATTTTAAACAATCGCATACCTTCAGTTGTTTAAGATTGGAAAAGATGTCAAGGGATATTGTCAATGCAAGCGATGCTCTTGTTTTTTCCACTTTCACAACATTTCGCAAGTTAGGCAAACCCTCAAGAGTTAGTACTTGAAGGTTATTCATAACTGTCAAGGAAGTAGAGGAAGATGATAACAAAGAGACCACACACACTATCCCTGGGCAGTATTTCAAAACACATGTTTGCAATTGAGTAAAATCTCTCTGAAAAATAGAAATATCACCGGCTGCATTGCAATATTCAATCCTCAAATCCTGAAGGTCATCTGGAAGGGCCAACTCATCCTCTTCTTCTATCTCTTGTCTGAATAAAATTACCCATTTAGGAGGATCATTATTGTTTAACTTCCAAAAATGCCCCTCCTCATCTTTATTTGTGCCTCCCACTTTGAGAACGTAATGACTGGGTCTTCTAAAATGGTTCAACTTGCTTACAAAACTGTTGTAGTCTTTTAGCCAATCAAATCTACCTTCAAACCATTCCAGCATCTCCAATCTTGCTACTTCTTCTCCTCTTATTTCAGTTGGAAAAATCCGATGTATACGTAGGTATTGGAGGCGGAAGAGCTTTCGGATTTTTCCTCCTGGTAGCATTCTCAGGTTTCGACAATATAAATCAAGATATTCCAGATTTTCTAACATTCCAATGCCTTTAGGAGCCTCACGAAGGCTTGCTCCATCCAAATCCAACTTCTTCAGTGCTTTAAGCTTTGACAAGGAAGGCATGCGCTTTAAACTCCAACATTCACGGAGGATTAGTGCAGTGAGATATTTCAAGTTACATATGCAATTAGGTAGAACCTCAATGCCAGTTCCAGAAAGATCAAGAAACTTCAGCAGGGGCATGTTAGCAAAAAACCACTCTGAAATTTGTCTCAATCCTCTATTACCCTCCAAAATCAAGGTTGAGAGCATCAAGCATTTGGGGGATAGATTTGGAGGGATATATGAAATTACATTTTCCATGAGAGAGACCTTGTCTAGATCTTCATTCCATTCATCCTCATCCGGTATCTTCGTCAATCTCATTCCAGCTTTTACCATAAACATACCAGGACCCATGCTCTTGATGCGCAATGCCATGTCCCTCACAACATCATGCATCTTAACACACACCTTTCCAAAGGCTTCCTCTAACAAACAACAGTTTAAAAGTCTATTTAAAATAGCATTTCCTTTATCATGCATTTCTCTTCTGCTTCCTAATTTTTCAACAATTCCCTCACAAATCCAGGCTTCAATTAGGTCTTTTCTTCTAATCTCCCAATCTTCCGGATGCAATGAGCAATATAAGAAACACTCTTGGATGCTAGAATTTGGTAGACGATCATAACTGAACTTCAAACGTTTAAATATCTCATCTTCTGAATCTTTCTCTGTGTCCACCACACATTGACGCAATTCACGTAATGCATTTCTCCACTCAAAAATATCTTCTACTCCTCTCATGCTCCCCGCAATGACAACAATGGCCAATGGCAAACCAGCGCATTCAGCCACTATAAGCTTCAAAATCTCTTCCAAATTGGGAATTCGTAGAACATCTTGCCCAACCTTATCTAAAAACAACTTCAAAGACTCTTGCTCTGGTAAAGGTGGTACTTTAACTACCTGACATCTCAAGTAGTTGCATACATCAATCGATCTGCTAGTAATAACAATTTTACACCCATTTTCCATTGTTGGTTCAGGGATTCCAATTCTTTGAAGAGTAAATTTATCCCACACATCATCTAAGATCAGTGCATATTTAACTTTTTTCATAGCCTCCATCAGTCTTGATGCCCGGCTCAATTCATCCCACCTCAATTCATCCCACGAATTTGAACGATTTTTCCTCATTGCCCTAGCAATGTCATCTTGCAATCTGAAAACATTGAGAGGATGTGATACTGTAACCCAGACAACCTTCTCAAACTTGCTAGCCTCATTCAATAATTCATTATTGATGTGTTTCATAACAGTGGTTTTGCCAACTCCACCAATTCCACAAACTCCAATAATTCCCACCTCGTGACCCATTAAGTATTCCCAAATTTTTTCCTTCACATTAACCTCACCCACCATATTCTCTGTTGGCAAAGTGATTCCAATAGTTGGAGACCTTTCAATTACAAGACCTTCAGGGAAACTACCTCGAT